TAGTTATTTTCCCCCTAAAAGATATAAATTTATCTTTAGATTCTAGAGCAATTAGAAGACTGTTAAAACAAAAATGCGTAAGACAAGGTGTAACCTGAATAACAAAATTTGAGGAGTATAGGCACAATGCATCCTCACAACAAAGTAAAATAAGTGAGTCCGTATATCTCTGCCCCAAGCATTTGGCTTCACTAGAGGTGTCATATTCAACCTCTGTTGAATCACTTTGATATTGAGAATTGGTTTGCACAAGTTCACTTTTAGCTTCAACATCCTGAGAGGAGATTGGTGATTGCTTTTCAAATGCTTTGGTGTTAGAAACATTGCTCTCTGCATACCCAAAATTATCCAGAAGCTGTAAAATCATCGTTAGCAAACGATACTACATTTATTCACTGAATAAAATATTACTTACCTAAAATATACATGGAAACTGCTGTTGACTCTTTCCTTGGGTGCATTGGCTGAGAGCTGATCATATTCCCAGTGATTCCATCCATAACAATGATATGTGCATCTCTGGTCAAGATGAAAGCCACCTCCCTGGAAGATTCATTCAACATTTCCTTTTCATGGTGGTTCAGATTGTCGCTACTTGTTTTTGGGTATGTTTTCAAAGCCACAGAAATGACTGCAGAACTTGAAGCCGATACAGAGTCTGTAAGAAACAAAACTGACAACGTACTTATATCAAGCACTGCGACCTGTAATGGGACAATTGAAACGTGAATACTTGGCAATCACTTAGCTCACATTGCCAATCAACAACACAACCTAGGTGAATATAAGGGTAACTGTCATTGTTAACCATTTAGATGACACTTACCTGACCACATTCAAATCCCACAGCAAGTCTGACCCCATTATTCAAATATTGCAGGGTGCGTACAGGAGACTTAAGGATGGAAAATGCCGCTATACACTGAAGTCTGTGCTCAAGGGGGACTTTGTGAACTGCAAACAATCTATGCACTGGTAATCATATTGAGGAAAGAACAAGAAAATAAATTCACAGAGGCTCAATGACAGATATGCCCAGTGAGACAGAAAAGGAAGTTCCCATTTGCAGTGAATGAATAGAACAGTACAAGTACTCTACAGTTTATCGGGTACTAGAGACTTTAACCATAAAAACATTCTTACTTTGGAGAATTCAGATAGATGATATAAAGTAATGGTAATAACATATAATAGATCTGATTAAAACCTTTGATCATGCGTTCAAGGTGGTCTAGCTGATTTATCATTTCTTCTGATTTTATCATAATTTTTGGTTGCGAAGGATCATTTTCAACCCTTCCGTATCTCACATGTTGATCAACATACGAAATTGCACAATTGCTTAGCAGATCTATGTAGATGTGGGACTTTTATTCGTCCTTCGTCCAAGCCATAGGCTAGATAGTTGAAACTAATCCAGTCAAAATCTGGATCAGGGTTGAGCCACAGCATTCCAAACATTTACTAAGAAAATAAAATAGTGTAAAGTATCCAAAAAGTCATACACTGCTACATTCATCTAAAGTAGAAAAGGAGTAACAATAAATCTCATTTTATCAGGTATGATAGTAGTTGTGCAATTGGGTTAATTACGTATGAGATGAATGAAATCTCTCTTGAAACTTTAGGTTTATAGCTGAAAACTTGCAACTGGAGTACATATATTAATCCCATTCAAATCCTTCCAAAATTCCCAAGGGGAAAAACAGGGATTGAGAGAATAAAAGCTCCCGGGGGAGGGGGAGCACAGAGAAGAGCATATTAAAAAAAGAAATTGACTAATTGATTAGCTCATCAGAAAATCTTACTTTTTTTATCTATTCCGATCTTCCTTGTTGCCACTCATCCCAAGTTAAAGAAAGAAAAACATAAAAAAGGAGAAAGGTGAAAAAGTAAGGATGTCTTGAGATTCCTATCACTCTCTTTTATCTGATAACTATAAATTCTTTGATGTATCCTCAAACTTGCATCTATTTCCAGTCCCTGTCTGTGTACTCAACTTTTAAGCAACTCTATAAATGCAGATCTTCTGACATTAAAAAGTGGAAAACAAGGATAGTGGCAGGCAAGCAATTAGAAGTTATTCACACCTTCACGTTTGGCTTCTGTTACAAATTGAAAGTTCATTCCACCAAAACTCCCAGATAAACTGTGTATACGAACCTACATTAAACCAACAAGAATGGTAAAGCAATCACCAATGTGAACATTATTATGGGTATTTATTGTCGTGAAAAATATAGCCATAATGACAAAACAAAATTGATTCTTACCAGACCACCTTCATTGCCAATAGCTAAACTTAAAGTGGTGGAGGAAAAGTCCAATGCTGATATTGATGAACTTGCACCAGCAATTTCGATACCTTCCACCTGCATGTCACATATTGGATGTTCCATGAGGAACCAATTTGCCCATTATAACTAAATGGTGAATTATTTTCAGTACTTTCAAGCAAAACGCAATAATACATTTACAGCATTTTATAAGGTAATACTCGACAGGGTGCAATGTTTTACTAACCTCATGTCCTAAAACAAACATGAATGACAGAACTGGAAATGTGGCATCCCATACTCGGACAGACCCATCTTGGTAGCCTGCTATGTATATTCGCTCAATTCTATTCTCTTCCCCAAAAGACAGCTGACTGGGAATACCTCCAGTCAGAGGCCACTTTGTACTCCTTGTAGTCATGGCATCTTGAAGTTTTGCAGCCGATACTGTCTAATATAATAGGCAAAAAAATAAAATTATAGATGGACAGTGCAGGAAACAAAAACTATGGATGGAGCATAGTGAATATTCCAGATCAGCAATGCTACATGGTGCTCAGTACCTCTGTGAGAGCCCGTGAAAAGCTCTCTTCTGTGCTTACCAACCTGAGCTTTCCCACAGTCATGTTTGGTTCAACAGTAGGTATGACTACAGGATATTCAACAGCATGAACATGATGCTTCTTCTCTGGGCCAGACTTCAAGTCAGACAAGCAAGCATTGTCATAAAAATGCAATTGCCCGGGATTGGTCAATACAAACAGTGAAATGGTGTCATTCCTCTCTGCTGCAGAAGCATTCGATGTTAAAATCATATCGGCAAAAGAACCACTAAGTGTAAGGTCTACACGGTCAACGCATTTCAATGTTTCAATGCCAGAAGACCAATCAAGACTCAGGATCTGAACAAGACAGATATAGATTACAGTGAGGATCAGATAATCGACAAAACAAACAAACAAGCACAAAACATTAAAAGTCGTTAAAGTGTAAAGAATTAACACAATATATTGAAGAGGAACAGAGAGAGGTCAAAAGCTTGACCTAGTTCACATATATCATTGTATTTATAGTTAACTTACAATGATAATAAGAATTACACATACTACCCTACCACTATTAACAATTTACACAGACTATCCTAATGCTTTTAACACTCCCCCTCAAACTGGACTATATATATATATCATATAATTCAAGCTTCGAATAAATCGCCGGAAGACGTGTACGGCTCAATGCTTTGGTAAACATATCTGCAAGCTGATCTTCAGATTTCACGAATAGAGTTGTAATCTCCTCAGCTACTATTTTGTCCCAAATAAAGTGACAATCAACCTCAATATGTTTAGTTCTTTTGTGAAACACAGGATTGACAGCGATATGGATAGCTGCCTAGTTGTCACAGAACAACTGTAAAGGAGGTTGAACTGAAAACCCAATTTTCTGGAGGAAGTGTGGTAGCCAAGTCAACTCACTCGTCGTATGCGCCATTGCCCTATACTCAGCCTCAGCACTGGATCTTGCTACCACAGATTGTTTCTTACTTTTTCATGTGACAACGTTACCCCCTAAGAAGGAAGGTATAATAACCGGTGGTTGATCTCCGATCAGAAGGAGAGCCAGCCCAATCAGCATCTAAAAAACCTTCCACTCTAAGATGTCCATTAGCTCGATATATCAATACAAGTCTAGGAGCTTGTTTGAGATATTGCAGAATACGAATAACGGCCTCCCAATGTGATACTCTAGGACACCCCATAAACTGACTTACTATACTTACTGCATAAGAGATATCCGGTCGAGTAATAGTTAGGTAATTGAGTTTCTCAACCAACCTGCGATACCGACCCGGATTCTCAAATAATGCACCATCATCCATCAATAATTTATGATTCGAATCCATAGGAACATCAATCGGTCTGCCACCCAGCAAACCTGCTTCCTCTAGCATGTCAAGTACATATTTTCTCTGTGATAAACAAATACCTTATTTAGATCGAACCACTTCAATTCCCAAGAAATATCTGAGTTTTTCCAAATCCTTAGTATGAAATCGATCTTGCAAGAAGATTTTCAACTTGACAATCCCCTCAGAATCATTTCCAGTAATCACAATATCATCTACATAGATCACCAATAGGACATATCTAGCATCCGTCTGCCTGTGAAACATAAAATGGTCTGTCTGGCATCGAAACAGACCAAACTCTAAAACTGCATCTGAAAACTTACTAAACCATGCCCTCAGTGACTGCTTCAAACCATACAAATATTTTTTTAACCGACATACACTCTTACCATACTCCCCCTGAGCAGTAAACCCAGGTGGCTGCTCCATGTATACCTCCTCAACCAAGTCACCATGTAAAAAGGCATTCTTGACATCTAACTGAAACAAGGGTCAATCAAGATTAGCAACCAAAGAAATCAAGATACGAACAAAGAAAATTTTTGTAACAAGGGAGAAAGTCTCCTCATAATCAACACCAAAGGTCTGAGTAAAACCCTATGCAACAAGTCGGACTTTGAGATGCTCTACAGAACCATCCGGGTGAAATTTAACAGTGTACACCCAACGGCAACCAACAGTTTGTTTACCAGGGGATAAAGGAACGAGATCCCAAGTCCCATTATGATGTAAGACATTCATCTCATCCTCCATAGTTTTCCTCCAACCCGGATCAGATAAAGCAGCCTGTAAATGCTTAGGGACAGATATAGTAGATAATTGAGAGGTAAAACAAGAAAAGATAGGAGATAAGGCATCATATGAAATAAAATGAGCAATGAGATAATTGGTAACACACGAACGAGTACCCTTTCGAAGAGCAATAGGTAAAAAGTCAAAATTACCTGATGGGCCAGGATTAGAAGGCGACAAGGAAGACGGTACGGACACCTCAGTCGATGGTCGAGGACGACGAGAGTATACACAAAGAGGTAAAGTAGAAGGTAACACAGCAGACAACAGAATATCTAAAGATGAGGGAGGAGATAGTGGTACAAGAGGTAACTCAAAGTCCAGATCCAAAGGCTGAGGAGGTGCTGAAAAATATGGAACAGATTCCTCAAATGTGGCATCGGCACTAGTAAAGTATCGTCGCAGAGAAGGACTGTAGCAACGATACCCCTTCTGTGTGCAGGAATAACCAAGAAATACACATTTGGTAGCTCGAGGATCAAGTTTATCAAACCCAAGACCCAAATTGTGAACATAACAGACACATCCAAAAACCTTAGGAGTTAGGAAAAATAAGGGTTTATCAGAAAAAATGATAGAATATGAACTTTGCCCATTTAACACAGAGGATGGCATACGATTAATTAGGTGACAAGCAAAAAAAACAGCATCACTCCAAAAATAACAGGGAATATTCATCTGGAATAACAAGGCACGGGTGACTTCCAACAAATGACGGTTCTTGAGTTCAACAACACTGTTCTGTGGAGATGTGTAAACACAGAAAGTCTAATGAATAATGCCAGTTTTACTAAGATAAGTTGAAAAATGATCAGATTCATATTCCCGAGCATTATCAAAACGTAAAATACGTATACGACAACCTTACTGAGTTTTTATTTCCTTACGAAAGGTCTCAAATATAGAGAATAATTCAGACCGAGCTTTCATAAAAGACAACCAAGTCACACGAGAATAGTCATTCACAAAAGACATAAAATAAGAATATTTATTAGATAAAATATTCTTTATTAAACCCCATACATCAGAATGTACCAACTCAAATGGACTAGACACACGATTATTGACTCTAGACTGAAATGACACACGGTGATGCTTACTAAGTTGACAAGCTTCACAAGACAAAGACGACACACAACTAAGACTGGGAACTTAGCACTTCAGATTCTGGAGAGAGGGATGTCCAAGACAACAATGTCATTGAAAAGGAGATAACGAGGTCTGTAAAGCCCGAGCAGGTGAATCAAAATCAAAGTAATATAGGCCACCGGCTTCATACCCCGTACCAATCTTCCTCTTCGTCTTGAGATCTTGAAAGACACAATAAGAGGGATAAAATATTACTGAACAGTTGAGAGAACGGGTAATCTTACTAATGAAAAGTAAACTAAAAGGAAACTGAGGAACAAATAACACAGATGATAGGGACAAATCAGGACTCAAGAGAGTAGTCCCCAGACCTGAAACTTTAGAAAGAGTACTATTAGCAAGAATAACACTACGTGCAGAAGTAGCAGACTGATAAGTAGAAAAAACATCAGACGCACCAGTCATGTGGTTAAAAACGCCAGAGTCTATGATCCACGGACTGCGGGTGGAGGACAATAAACAAGTGAAAGTTGTACCTGACTGGGCAAAAGTAGAAATGGAGGGAGATAGAACAGCCTGTTGCTGGGACAGGAACTGGGCATACTCCTCTCGACCCAGTGTAATAGTAACCGATCCAGTGTCTGGTAGAACTGACCGAGGTATGGAAGCAACAACAGAGGTATCATCCTGATAAGAAGCCTGATTAGCAGCACCAGAAGATTTACCATGTAAATCCCAACATAAGTCAATAGTGTGTCCTCCACAACCACAGTGAGTACAAGAACGGGATCCACTACGACCCCCACGACCACCCGTGTGACCTCCCGTACGACCACCACGTCCACCTCGATGACCATTACTATGGCTACTAGGAACCACAAAAGCTGAGCGATTAGTGGAGACACAATGATCAATACCTGAAGGAGTAGACAGTGTAGCACGCTGTAAACGAGAGAAAACCTCAAGCAGTGATGCAAGACTAGAACCACCCAAAATCTGAGAATGAATAGCCTCATATTCAGGTTTCAATCCTACCAAAAACCTAACAACATTCAGGTCCTCATGTTGCTTCTGTCAAACTGCTGCATCAGTAGTAAACGGATGGTAGGTCTTCATCTCCTCACAGACTCCCCGAACATGAGAGTAATAATCCACAAGGTTCATAGTACCCTGCTCCAACCGGAAGTACTCCTTGCACACCTCATACGCACGGGTAAAATTACTTATACCAGAATACATGGTGGTCAAGTGATCCCATATCTCCTTGACAGTGTCAAGGTAGAGCAAAGTAGAACTAATACTAGGCTCAATGCTATTCAACAGTAAGGAAATGATCTGAGCATCCTCTTATTCCCACCGATCATATCCAAGAGTAGTTTCCTCGGGTTTAGGATTCACCAAATATTTCTTGAATCCTTTGCCATGAAGAAAGACTTGAGTAGACCGAGACCATAAAGTATAATTAGTCCCATTAAGTTTAACGGAAGTCATGGGACCATTGATAATAGTCGAAGGGATAGAGGTGGGTGGTAAAGCTGAAGTAAGGGACTCGATATTCTGCTTGGGTTCCATAGCAGTACAGCAAATAGCAAACAAGGGGTGCTATAATGCTAGAACACATAACCGGACAGAACTGGACCTGCTAAGCCTGCTGAAGGGCTGAACCGGACCCCAAAAGCCTACTGGAAGGCTTAACCGGACCCCAAAAACCTGCTGGAAGCTGAACCGGGCCCCAAAAGCCTACTTTAAAGGCTGAACCGGGCAGACTAGGTGCACTGGACCAATGAACCGGAGTGAAAGATGACTGAACCGGTCTGAACCAGTGCAAAACCTAACTGAACCGGGCCACAGGAGGTTGCTGGACCGCTGAACCGGAGTCACCACTGACTGAACCGGTTTGAATCGGTCTAAGGCTAACTAAACCGGGATTGACCTGGTCCAGGTTGCACAGTGGACTGGGCTTGATCTAATTGGACCCAATCTGATTGGGTTTAAAATAGCTGGGTCTGAAATTGGGATCTGTTTGGGTTTGGACTGTTTGAATCCCGGTTCGATTTGACTGACCCGCAACCGACCCGATGGGCCTTGTCTTCTTCGCCTGACTAGCGTTTCAAAAGAAACCCTCGATCGTCGTCACACCACCACAACACCACAGCAACCACGTAGAAGCCACCAACGTCAACAATCGACTCGGTAGCCACACCACAGTGTCACACCACCACGATCGACAAACCCAGCAGCCACACTACCACGATCGACTCAGACACCTAAATCGACAACGCCTCACAACCGAAATCTCCACCACAGACGCAGTACCACCACCACTACCACAGTGTATTACAACTACTGTGTAACACCACCACAACGCCGGAACTCCAACAACAACACCTCAACAGTAACGTCACCAAGTCAAGGTAATTTCCACAAAACAAACACAGGCTAATATTTGTATTTAGAATCGTATTGCTCTGATATCATGTTAAGTATAAAGGATTAACACAATATATTAAAGAGGAACCGAGAGAGGTCAAAAGCTTGACCTAATTCTCATATATCATTGTATTTATAGTTAACTTATAATAATAATAAGAATTACACATACTACCCTACCACTACTAACAATTTACACAGACTACCCTAGTACTTTTAACAAAAGTAAAGTCCTCAATTTTCTACTGTAGATATTGCTCAATAATAAAATCAAAGAAACAATACAATAGAGGCAAAAACAAAAATTCCATTTTTTAGAGTGAATATCTTATGAAACGCAACACTAAAACATCCAGTCGGTGCCTTCCATTTTCTCCTATATTTTCTCAATTTGCAAAGTAAGCAATTTTATTACTTTCTTTGATGCTGGAATCAAGTATTCAATCCACTCAATCCTTTAATTCGAATATTTCTGTTTTACCTAATCCTCACAGTCTAAATCATGGTTCACATGTATCATATATTAACTATACGTCCTACTTGCATTGTGCCAAAGACATCAATTGTTCGATAATTTTGGAGTTTCACTAATGCTTTATTTCTCAATAGATGATGCTATGCAACATAGGATTCAGTGCCTACATACAAGTAAGTAGTAACATACACAATGAGATTTATGTAATTTTTATCTGCAACTAAGAACAAAAATTATGCCTCATGCACAACTTAATAAAACAAACAACTTAGAGAGTATGACAAGGATGAGAGTAGCAAAATCATGTGTGGCATGAAATCTGAGTTTAGTAGGCACCTACCAGAGTCTATGATGCAATCTCTCACAACAACATAAAAATAGCACGTGCAGAGATATACAAAGAACAGTAACTTTTGCTGTTGCTTGTAAAGAAACAAGATAATGCAATATAAATATCATGAACAGATTAAGCAAGTAATCACTTTCATAAGGATTTCCCTTGCCAACATGATAAATTACATGATGTCAAATAAAAGCCAGACATACTTATCTGCTTTCACATATCTATGTTACAAGTTTATGCCTTTAAAATGTTTTTTTTTCAGCCAATATTAATTTTAAAAGGATATTCAAAATAAAAAGTATTCGAACTCAGCAAGTGTTTGTGGGTTCAGCGGCATCAGCCATGGGTAAAGGCCCTAAATCCCCATCATTACAAGCAATCCTACTTATTCTGGAACATCAAAGCTTCAGGAGGGTTAAGAGTCATTTTCTTCAATTAGTAGGATGACTTGGAAAGACATGTGACATTCAATTACACTTACTTCTTGTGTCCTTTTTTATTTTTATTCGTATTTTTCAAGTTGATGAAAATCAACTCCTCCATTTCTCCTGAATTAGCCTAGAGATCTCATTGAAGACACTTCCTTAGCTACTCTTATTGATCAGCGGGAGGAGGCCATAATTGTGCACTCTCTGAAAACAAGTTGATTTTTCTTCCTTATTCTATTTGTAACCTTGTGAAAGAACTTCGCATTCCCATGACTTCTTTGACCCATATAACCATAAACATTTTTCTTATTGCACGGGATTTCATCTGAATAGTCTTTGGAGCAAAACCCTTTCCTGCAGATTTCCCCATGTATTAGACCACTATCAGCCTATTTACAAAGTCGGTCTATATTACTAGGACAGTTTTCATTCTTTTTAACAAATATCCTACAATACATTTTCTTCAATAGTATCGCTATATATCCTGTGTGGCGCATGAACACTCCATCTATGTGGGAATATTTCACTCAATTGGCCATGGGCTAGAATCCAGCCGCAAAAGTTTAAAAAGAAATTTGCAAATCAAAATTCTGGATACTGAAGCTAATTCTGGTTAGGGACTCTGGTGAAAGCCTTCCCTGCAGTTTATCCATCTCAACTCAACAAAGCTATATTCCAACTATTCAGGGTTGGCTACATGAATCTTGTTCCTTTATTGTCCTCCATTGTCCCCACAATTTCTCCATCTCAGGAATCTTTAATGTGAGTGTCTATGTCACATGAAGTTAGAAGCAATCCAAGAAATTTTCATCCTCACAGGAGATAAGATAGCTCAAGTGTCCTTTTTCTCTGTAAGGGTGATGACCACATGCTATGAAGCACGAACGCTTTGATGCATCCATGTCAAACACTGATACTCTTACGACACTCTCGGGCACGTGTCCAACACTTCTTTAGACCATGTCTACTACTATATATAAATTTATGTTAGACATGTGGCTAACAAAGCAAAAGATACAAAAAAAATTTAGAAAGAACAATTGAGAAAATAAAAGCAATCATTTAAGTTATATATATTTGGTATATGTCTACGAAAAAATTGATGACTATTAACTATGATGTTGTTAGGCTAAAAATTCACAGTAGATGACTAAACATAACATTTACTATCATAATGTACTGAATTTTTTTAAAATAATAAATCATTATCACTATATTTGTGATAAATTATATAATTTTATATATAAAATATAATTATCTATAGAGTGTACTCAACGTGTCCATGTTGTGTCCTTGTCCGTATCCGTGCTTCTTATACTACATGCACAAAGTAAAAAATTGAAAACAAGCTTTCAGAAACAGAGATCAAGTGAGTTGAAACAGGCCGTATGCAACCTTACATGCAGCCCTTCAGGGAAATTACAAAGACAGAAATTTAATGATAGCTGATTCTGGTATAAAACATACCGTGAGGACTTCTTCAGATCCAATTTCATCACCCCCATAAATAAAAAGTTGGCCCCCACGATCATTGTGTGCTCTGTTTGCAAACCAGTGAAGCACAATGACCGGAAGTCTTCTGCTGCTCGATGACAATTGTAGCTTCACAATATCATTATTGTCTGACTTTTGAGCTTGCGGATCTTTAACAGATACTTCAGTTGATAAGTTCCATAATAAAATGTCTCCATCTACATAACCAACAGCAAGAATTGACCCATCAGGAGATACCCAACAGAGAGAGCTTATCTCCTTTTCTTCTACATCATGATCCAATGAATCAGTTGCATGCTCGTGGCTTAAATCATTAAGAGAATCAACCACTGATTTGTCCTTCAATTGGAGATCTTTATAGCCTCTCACTAGAACAACCCTATCTTCCATAACGTCCCAAAGAATAATCAAGCCAATTTCATATGCAATCAGCACCCTACAGACAAATTGAAAGTGAAAAGTTATAAAGAAAGACCTAAACGACTTAGGAACAAAAAGGTATCCTGGAATGCCAACATTTTAGCAGCCGTGGGATGTAGAGTGAGCTGCCACAGGAAGTCCAATCTGAATCTTCTAAACAAACTTAGAGACCAAAAATACTTGCTCACCAAATTTACCAGACACCAGTGCATCCAAACTCTAGCTTTTAATAATAGTTGTACTGGCTTTGTTATGAACAAATAAGGAAAATTTGTAGTGTATCACTGTGATGTGTTTTCTTTAGGTGCAATTGCCTAAAGTATTAGGCAATCATATATGAGGGTGTAATTCCTTCGGAAATGGAAACCTAGATCTTCCTGCCCTTTACATGCTGTTGTGCTGGCTCTGTTAGGAACAAATAAGGAAAACTTCTAGCGTATCATGTACTCTCTTTAAGTATGATTCCCGAATGTGCGTTTAGTATCTGGTTGAGTATGGCAGTGATGAAATGTACAAAAGTCGTAGAGACACAGCCAATGTTTACTTCTATATACATATTTCAAAATTGATATGCTTCCAGATGCAGAGTGTCATACAATGACTAAATCAAAATCATAAAACTTATCTCAGTGTGTAAGAATTCAAAACCCATAGACTGAAGAGAAAATTTCAAGTTATCTTGTCTTGCCTATTCCCAAAAGAGCAGGGTTGGGGGAGCACGCCAACAACAGATTGATGACTGGGCAATGAAATCCCAGCTGCTTCTGCAAAGCAAAAAGGGAAATTTTATTATATAAAGCATAATGGCTCGTGTTAAGAGAAGAAAGAGAGAAGATCAATATCAAGCAAGTAGAAACAATGAACAAGTCAGCTCCTGAGATTATTTTGAAAAGACACATTCTCACGTTCTACTCTGATTTCTATGCGTTACCCCCTAAAAACGTTGGCTTATGAACAACCAAGTCCAGATACCTTTCTGCTATCGGTGATCCTACTACTCATATTTGTCATCACCACTCATATTTGTCATCATATTTTCACTTTGTCATTCATACTGTGTTGGACTGAAGGCCTGGTTGCATTTTACTTTAATTCATTGGCAGACCAACAGTACAGCGTTGTGGCTACTACAATCAAAGGGGGCAAAAAAGAATGAAACAAGATCTGATAATACCATATGTCAGAATTCAAAAGCGTACCTAAATCAGGGACAGAGTCAATATTAACATGCACACAGCTGTCATGGACCAAACACATTTGGCTAACTACTCTGCCAAAAAAGAAAGTGATAGCTAGTATGAATTCTGTATGAGATATCATGAGACCCCAGCCTTGTTGATTGTATTTTCCAAGTCAGACTCAGTCATTACCCTTATCAAACAATGCACTCAGCAGCAAGGCCACAAAATTGGCAAGATACCATTATCAGCAGCCAAGCAACAGTCCAATAGCCAAGTTAGCCCTAATGCAACTGCCTGCTCCCGCCCAGCAGAGAAAAAGCTTGAAGGTCGTTAGGTTAGTCTCCTAAAAATGTTTCTTTCCTTGTTGAGCAAATGAGAAGAAGTGATATTTGGAAGTCATGTTGGTATTCCATAAGACCTCCTTTGGCCTTCACAAAATACAGGTAAAATCCTAGTATATGTTGTATAATATTCAGAGATCCACAGAAAAGTTGAAAGAGGGTAGAGGGATGGAAGAATTTGTCCCCTACAATTTGAGACCATCCCAGGGCATTACAGAATGATGCTACTAATACTTGTATATATGACAGTACATTATGGCTATAGGATACCTAGTACAACACCAAATCGTTCTAAAAGACTATGTTGCAGATTTGGTCACTAGCCCACTGCTAATGAATGTTTCCAGGTTCCAGAATGGGAAAAGCCTTGAAGTCAGCTTTAGTGCTTGACAAGATTGCGACTCAGTAAAATTTGACCTCCAAGTTGGTACATTCCCCATATGTATATCAGTGCAGGAGATATGAGTTGTTGACCTGTTGAACCATCCACCAACATCGCTGTGGCTTGACTTTTTTGACTAATCTTGCATGGAATAGGTGCACCATAATACAGGTGTTTGTTTCTGTGAATTTTCTTCAGCCACCCATCACAATTAAGCTCAGACATCATCATGAATCTACTCGAACTTCGCAATATAAATGCTAACACCAGTATTAAACGTTTGCCATTCATAGCGAGACTATTATGAGTATTTTATGTTTTAATGCAATTGAACTAACTATCTAAGACCATCACAAGTAAATACATGTATGGAGGCAGATGAGATGCATCCTAAAGGAAATAAACTAAAGAAGAGAAACATAGAGTTATTGATGGTGCAGCCATTGGTTCGTTGGACCAATACAATCAACCTTGGAGGCCTAGCAAAAGACTAGTTATTTTTTGTCCAAAGGAGAGTGTAATTAGTAGTTTTATTTTTATTATTTGATTTATGAGCATTTGTTTGACTAGTAGTAGTAGTAGTTAGAATTTGGTTAGGAAATTATTATAGAGATTTAACAGGAGAATAATTTTTACATTGGTAGGAAACTTAGCCTATAAATATCGATGTAATCCCCACTATTTTTATTAGAGAGTGGTATAATAAAAAACTATTTCTCTGTGGAGAATTTCGTGTATTTTTTGACCCAATCCTTAGGAGAATGAGGTAAACCTCCCCTTCTTCTATTCTTTCTATTTTTTGATTTCTACTTTCCCCATCCTACATCAGTTATATAAACCAACGAAGAGTCCCCCACCATTGGGTGAGGATAAAAAATGATCTCCAAATGAATCAAGAGCAGTTGCCCCTCTCTAAGTCAAGTTATCTTCCTCTGCATTGGCTGACCTAGGAATCCTCGAAAACGCAGCCTGAAGAGAAAATAGATGGCTTCAGGATTTCCCCCAACAAAATGGCATAGCAGTAGGGACCACTATATTGTCACTTAAAGACACTATTAGATTCCTCTTCGGTCAAACAATGATGAAACCCATAATGATCACTTCTCTTAAGTCCTCCAAGAAGATAAGTAACTCCATTTTGACAGCATAACCTACATCCACTAGCTTGAAAAACAGAAGTAACAATATATCCTTCATAGTTGCTTAATATATTTCAAATATCACTGCATCGAAGTTCTATTGCACTACAAATACAAGCAAAGCATAGTCTATAGGTCGAGGCCAAATTAATTCTCATATACAAGCAAGGCTCACTCCAAATACAAGTAACTCGCTACAACTTTCATATACCACCCTTAGTTCTTTCATCTGGACACCCAAAAAGAAGTAGGAAAAAAACTATCATCCCCAAAGCTTTTAGAATTTCTCTCATCCAAATAACTCCAAGTCTCCCATACACGCTAGAAAAGCATAACGCCAAAGAAATCCTTTCTTCAGCCCAGTCTACCAAACAAATTTCCAAAAGACTGCCATATGCCACGAATAATGGGAAGAGATGGTTAGAGCCTTAGAGGTTTTTCCATAGAGAGAATACGCATACGTCATAAGAGCTATATTGGGGACCTTTTATCTTGGAACCCTCATCAGTATTGACCTTCTCCCAAGCCACTGATAATACAAAAGCCCAAACTTTTGGTGGGATCCTGACATTTAATCTCTATCTAGCCAAATGGACAGAAAAGGCTCTGTTATTTCTAGAAATTAACAGAAGTATATTTAGGGGGAAAAAGGCTACTATCCAATTCCAAGTTTTTTCCTCCAGGCAGAGCAAATACATAAAAATAAAATTGAGCACACTGATTTTCCTATACAAGAAGTTTCTAGAAGTTGAATTCATCAAAATAGAATGATTAAAATCTCAATAGAGGACAATTCATACGAGCAATTCTACAAACATCAGAGAAAGAGTTTTCTGCCATTCACCAATCCTTCCAGAAACAGATTGTAGACCCATCTTTAATGAGAGCGTACAATGGCTAGCAACAAGATTTGCATCATCAATATTTCCTAATTCTGGTCACCCCATGCCAAAGAGATCTTGCTCTTTCGGAAAGTAACAACAATTTATTTCTAAGGAATATTACCCAAACCAAAACAGCAGCCTAATGAACAAAGTGCATGGGAATGCCTGATATCCAAACCCCCCCCCCCC